GACGGCCTAGGGTAGTAGTAGAGGGGGAGGAGTAGCGAGCGACTACGGTGCCATAGAGTTCCTTAGCCGTCTTAAGCTGGCCAAAGTGAACGTGCTCATCTAGCGGGAGTGCGCTACGGAGAGCAAGGCGGGCGGCAGCATCGCGCGTGACCCACTGAGAACGAAGGACTTGGTCAGCTGAGTCGGGAGGGGCAGGGAGAGAACCGGACGTATGCTCTAACAGGGAGACGCCGTCGCTAGCCCTACTCTGCAGGTACAGCTAGAGATCCTCGAGCAAGCAGTCAAACCTAATCAGGCGGCCCTCCGCGTCAAAGGTATGGACACTAATGATGGCCATAGTGGGCTGTAGCAGTAGGTAGAACAGCAGCAGCAGCAGCAGCAGCAGAGCGGCTCGGTAGGGCTGCGCAGGTCTGCAAGGCTGCGCAGAATAGGCAGGGCGGCGTGGCTCGGGCTAGGCAGGGCAGCAGGGCAGCGCGAAAGCGCTTCGGGCAGGGCAGATCGGAACTAATGGTGGGCCCTAAAAAAAAGTTAACCGTAATGTCAGAAAGTACTTTGCATGAGTAATTGGATTATGCGGCAGGGTGATACAAATAGGGTTGACCTAAAGTGTTCTACCCCTTAGAGTATGCCCCACTACAGCCTAGAGACATACAAATGCAATTTGACAGGTGAGTGTCGAGGGCGTAGACGAGGACTCGCGGAAGATTGAAGTTGAAAAGAAGTGGAAAGTACCAGAGAACGTCAACGAACTGCAGCAGTTCCTAGACTTTGCCAACTACTACAACATTAACATGGATTCCCTATGCATCAGAGGAGCAGTAGAGGAGCGGGGGAGCAAAGGAGCAGCGGAGCTCATCGAGATTTCTAGTGTGCTTTCGTGCAGTTGCCGCATGAGCTCATCGAGGCGCTCCTGCGTGAGGGCAAGGTTAATGCGCTAATCCATGTCGAAGGGCGTCGGCCGTTGTAGGCACGGCCTGTGCTAGTATTTTAGGCATCCTAAGCCCTTAGTGCAGATTCTAAAAAAGGCTCAAAATACCCTGATTTTCCAGGGCAAAAACTCATGGGCATCCTGAATTTTCAGGACACCAGCTGGAAGTTATCCTGTCACGTAAGGGCAATTTCTTTTTAATAAATTTGATTGGCATTGGTGATTGAACAAGTAAATAACGAAATCTACCATAGAGAAGGCATGAGATGTGCAGGTCGTCTCGTCTCGTGCCTTGACCTACCACCTCAAGACTATGACCTGCCACCTCAGGACCGTGTGTGCGTGATGTCCAGAGATGTGGTTGGCCACTGAAGTGGCAAGGGAAAACCGTCGAAGGCGGAAAATGCACCCCCCCAACCCCTCATCCACTCCCTCTCCCTCATCCTCCCCTCCCCCCTTCCCTCCCCTTCAGTATTCGCGTCAGGGCATTGCTCGGTACCCATCCTGATGTTTCAGGGCAAAAAATGAAGGCCTTCCTAAAAGTTCAGGGCATAAAAATACAATTATCATGAAGTCACAGGGTTGAAATTAGCCTTATTCTGAAATTTCAGGGAAAACACCCGATGGCATCCTGAATTCAGGGTAATCAGGATGTTTTACCCTGATATCGTGGGGCCTGGTTGTAGGTGCTAGGTGTTGAAGTAACTAAGGAGATTAGGTTTAGGAGCCTTAGCAAGGAGAATCATGGCGATGGTATCGAGAGGAAGAATTGGCCAAAGAGGGAGATTCAATATGGAGCGAAGGTACAAATAGGGAACAAAAGAGGTACACCACCTACAGGAAATATCACAAACACTACAGTAACTACAGCAAACAGTTTATATGTAAAACATAAGTTTAACACACCCCCTAAACAGTTTGCTGCAGGAACCTGTGCAAGGACCTGAAGGGGTACACCAAGGCGCAACGGAAGAAGAGGGCAAGCGAGGATGAGGAGAGAGAGAGAGGAGAGGAGGAGGTGGGCGACGGCTGAAGCTGCTAGCCCACGGGCTACTGGAGCACTGGCTCGCGGGCACTGGGGTGACTGGCTCGTACGCCTAGAGCATCCCGCTCGTACGGCTAGAGCAACGGACCCGACGGGCGACTGGAGCAACGGGCACACTGGCGACTGGAGCTGCAGGCTTCACAACGGCAACCCCCCTCCAACCTCTCCAACCTCTCCCCCCCAAACCTCCTCCCCAAAACGGCGGAGACACTGGAGGAGCATACAAACGGAGGAGGAGGCGGCTGGAAAACGGAGAAGAGGGAGGACTGGAGGAGAGGAGAGGAGAGGAAATGAGAGGAGAGGAGAGGGGAGGAGAGGCGGCTGGAGGAGGGGATGGACGCAGCCATTGGTGTTGCCGGCTGTCTCCCGCCACCCCCTCACCCTCCCCCCCACAGCACACGCGTGGCAGTGTGTGAGAGAGAGGAGGAGAAGCAGCGTGTGACGAGTTGCTGGTCACCCCCGCCACCCCCTCATCCTCCCCCCCCCCCCTACAGTGGAAGCCGCGGAAGGGAGGGGAGGGGTGGGGGGGGGCGCGGCGTGCGCTGCTGCTGGCGCTGGCGTCCGTGCTGGAGCTGGGCGCTGGCGGCCATCGCTGGCGCACGCGCAGGCGTAGGTCGATGGCGCAGGCGGGCAGCGCGCGTTGCTGCTGTTGCTGCTCGCGCTGGCGTGTGGCGCTGGCGCACGGCGCGCTGCTGCTGCTGACGGCGTGTAACACGCTGCTGCAGATGCGGGCGCGACTGCAGACATTGCTGCAGCAGCGGAGGTCGGCTGGACGGACGACGGGCAGCACGTCGAGGCAGCATTCGCCATTGAGTCCGTCGCGGCCGTCGCCATTGCGCAGCTCGCCTCCGTGACGGTCAGCGATGCGACGTGTAGCGCGACTGGGGACGAGGAGTACGGTGGGCCCATGAGTAATAAAAAGAACGGTCCTTAGAAGGACCCAGCTCTGATACCATGTTGAAGTAACTAAGGAGATTAGGTTTAGGAGCCTTAGCAAGAGGCAATATGGAGAATTGGCCAAAGAGGGAGATTCAATATGGAGCGAAGGTACAAATAGGGAACAAAGGAGGTACACCACCTACAGGAAATATCACAAACACTACAGTAACTACAGCAAACAGTTTATATATAAAACATAAGTTTAACACTAGGCGTGGTCGTGGCTGCATGTGCTTACGAGAGAGCAGGAGGGCAACGGTCTTAGTACGACGAGAGGCATTCGTCCCTTCGAGTGAAAAATCGAAAGTTGCAGAGTTGCTGGTTGCGGAAAAGTTGCGCGATTCGAAGGAAAGTAGCTCTGATAGCCAAGTGTCACTGGTGCAATGGATAAAGTAAGCAAGTGATTGGGCTAAGGTTTCAAACTGGTACAAACGCGAGCGAAGGCATCGAGTGTTTATATAGAGCGAAACAAGCAAACGGCAACGCGGTGCGTGCGAGCTAGCTACTGTGGCGCTGGCAGCGAGGTTCGTGCTAGTCCCGAAGCGTCGGCCCGACTCGGCTAAGTCCAGTAGTGCGAGGTTTGGCACAGTGACGCGGGATGTGGCGAACATCATTACACGGTAACTGGCGAATAAACGGTTTGTCTTGTGCGTGTTGCTGAGGTGCGCAGTAAGGAATTCCGAAAATAAAAATCCTTGCATGTGAATACATTATGTTTTCTGTTATACACCAATGAAGGTGGTGTCTGCATCACTTAGACCTATGTTCACAAATTTCATAGACAGCTCTGTTACCAGGGTCTAAAAAATAAGCGCGACCTTTCTGTAACGGAGGAATTCAACCACAGAAGTCAGGATCTTTAGGTGCACAAATCAAACGTGGCAGTTGTAGGTTCAAGAGTCCACGTAGCATAACATTATTCTCCTTTGAAACACGGACGAATAATTTTCAACCACGTCAGCAATGAACATTTCTAGGTACGAAGGACGAATGGGATGAAGTGTACCGTAATTTTATGTTTTCGTCTCTCCCTTGTCGGCCCGAAGTTCCTGTCCCACTGCGAGGTTTGTCGGATCACTGAAATGGTTAACATTTTTCACAGGCCAAAACGATACTGCCCAGAAGCAGTAAAACGTATTCGCGGCGAGCTGTTCAAAACATTCAGCTTTATTGCGCATGGATCCTGTAATCCGGCCTATTGAAAGCCCCAGTATTTCAACACATCCACGTCTTTAACCTCCAACTTCGTCAGGTGAATCTGACCGGAAAACAATACTCCACTTCCCTCCCTCCCCACCCCTTCAACAATGCCTTCCGCAACCAGCACAACCTGCACCGCCCATCAGTCATAATCTTCACCTAGCGCACAGCCTTTCCAGTCTGCACATATCGTTGTCTCTACCTGACTTATCTGCTGAAAGCCCAGGCCGTCGGAGTCGAATTGCGCGTCACATATTCAATTTCGAGGTGAGGAACCTTTCTTTGTTCAATAGTGCCTTTTCTGCCGAGTTGGATGAAATTGCCGAAGCTTATGAATGTACTCGCGGGCCATTCTTACTTTTTGGACCAACCATTCCGCGTTGGTGGCTCCTTGGCTCGTTCAGTGCATTTCTTAAGTACCACGGTGTGGTTCCGCGCTTGAAGCTGATTCTGGTTTGCCCTATCCTGTGAATCCAGTTAGTGTCAACTTCAGTAAAACGGCAGAACCAACGGGACCGTAAGTACTATAAAGTGGTGATGTCACCAAGGGAATATAAAAAAGCTGAAGGAGTCTTAGCCTGACAAACGAAACTACCCCATTCCGGTTGCATCATCATTCAACGGCCACACTGTGTGTCAACGGTTGCTGCTTTCCGTGGCCCCCCACATTCTCCCCCTCGCTGCGGTACTCACTATGTCCCTTTTCCCGTTCCTCCCCTTCCATCCCGTCCATCCCCCTTTCCAATTCTCCTCGTCAGAGCCATGCCAGGTCATGACTTAGCCGACTTCCCTGTTTCTTGGCATTATTGTGAACCAGTCGTTCCCGTCCTCCTATAATTCGTCTCGTTCCTCCCCGTCCATTCCGTTTCCCCCCCTCTCCTCAGAGCCATGGCCGCGCATAGCTCGTCCGACTTCCTTCAAGGGGCCCTCGCCCTCGCCTGTACGCTCCCCGCTCCCTGCAGCGCGCATTACTCCGCCTCCGCGCCCACCCTCTCCGCGGATTCCGCCGTCCTCCCCGCCTCCGCGCTCCCCTTCTCCCCCCTCTCTCACTCCCTCCTCCGCATGAGCGCAACCACCAAGCCGCTCGCGCTCCGCGCCACCTCCCCCTCCCCGCTCCGCGACCTCCAGCAAATCACCGAGCGCCACGTGGCACTCGCGCGCCAGTTCGCGCTGGGATTCGCTCAGGAGGTGGCGGAATCCGCACTCGACCACCTTGCTGACGTGTACTATGCGCTGATGCTGGTGGGGGAGCGGCTCCGCCTCCCCCTGCTTGGTTCCCCCTCCGCCTCCCCTTCCGCGGAACCCCTTCACCTGCTCATGAAACAATCGAACGCCCCCTTCGCAGCCATAATTCCCGGCGATACTGTAGCGGAGCTGGTCGTCACACAGGGAATCTACAGCTTCCTTAACCTGTACAACACTGTGCTTATAGTGAGGATTCTCCTGACTTGGTTCCCCAACGCCCCATCCGCCATCGTCAGCCCCCTCAGCACCATCTGCGACCCCTACCTGAACATTTTCCGAGGGTTAATTCCCCCAATCGGGGGCACCCTCGATCTATCCCCGATTCTGGCCTTCGTGGTGCTCAGCGCGTTCACCAACGCGTCTGCCGCCCTGCCCGCGGAAATGCCCGAGGGTGAGGCTCCCGGGGGGGAGGGTGAGGCGGGGGGAAGGGGCGGAATGCTGGGCGGCAGGCGCAGGCGTCCTGTGAGGCTGACGCGGGAGCAGAGGGAGAAGATGCGCGCAGCGTCGAGAGCAGCTGAGCAGGGGCAGGAGGCGTAGAGAGGTAGGGCAGCTGGTAGTTCTGGGAGTGCGGATTGCTGTGAAGCTGATTCGATTGAGATCAATGCTATCCGGATCAAGAACAGGGGCAGGGAGTGGTGGTTATGTGTAAAGCAGACGAAGAGGGGGAAAGGGGGTGTGCTGGTGAAGATCCTGGATTGGTTGTGTGCTGCTGTACATTTGCTGCTGCAGGACCAGGAGAGAAGAGATGTTAGGGGTGGGAAGAGGATGGGAGAGCAAGGGTAATGTGTGAGAAGTGTGCTTGTGGCAGCAGGCTGTTGGCAATCAGAGTCGAGGGTAGTGTGTCCAATTCCTGTGTGTTGTTTATGACCATGTTTATTTTTGTTTAAGATTGTTTCTAGTTTGTGACAGCATAAAAACACATACATATCTCAACACTACAGAATGGTATTGCAAGTGGATGAACAAGAAGGTGCCCTCTACATCATTGCTTGGATGGAATGGAACACGTCACATGCATTACGCCATGCTGACCCTGACTTCGCTAGTAGATCAGTCAGACTTTGAGTCATAGCACCATTTTTGCTTCACATTAATCCACGTACGGTAGAACTAATACTTCTTCTGTAGCAGAACCCTGTTATCCTTGAAGCACACCACACAGCGAGTCCTCTTGAGCACATCCATCCCCACCACTGCGCCCGCTCCCATCACCGCCAGGGCTGGCAGGTCCCCCACTATCATGGGGTGGCTTGTAAAGGGGATACGACCGCCTCCTGTCCCTGTTGGCCCTCCTTGCTTCGTTATAAGGAACAGATCTGCTACTGCTCCTCCCATTTGTGTTGTTCCACCTCCCACATCCACCATTGATGCTACACCCTGGGGAAAAGGAAGAAAGGGAGACGAAGGGGTGGGGAGGAACATGGAAGGAAGCAAAAGTGACGTTGTGATGTGGAATTTCCAGTCAGTTTTCAGTGACGGACAACCTCTCATGGTGACATTCATGGCCCAAGCTGGTATTATGGTAATTTCAGTGGTGTTGGTTGTGTGGTTCGTGCGATGCTCGTGAGTGATACGTACGGTTTTCGTATGGTTTCGAAAAAGGTTCTTACAGTGGTTGTTACTAGTTCGATAGTTTTACCAGTGGTTGTTGCAAGGTTTCTACCAGGCTGGTTGTTAACAGCCATCTTACAATGCTGGAAAGGGTGGCACCAGCACGAGAAGCCACTGCAGTGGTGATGCGGCTGAGCCCAGAACCCATGTCAAGAGTCGCTGTCTCCTGGTGTCTCCGGTGCTAGTGGGTGTTCACATCCTGCTGCTTACGTGCTGTTGCTTCATGCTGGTAGGTGTAAGGTGCTGAATACATGTTAGAGTTGCTAACATCCATCTTACAATGCTAGAGGGGGTGATGCCAGCACGAGAAGCCACAGCGATGGTGATAAGGCTGAGGCCAGACCCCATGTCAAGAATCGCTGTCTCTAAGTGCTTGCCATTCACCGAGATCTGTGTGAGAGAGGCGAGGGGTGGGCGTGGGGGTGATGAGAGAAATGGGGGTTATGCGAGAGGAGTGGGGCGGAATGGGAAGAAGAGACGCGGGAGAGAACGGACGGAAAAGGATGGGTGATGGGTGATGGGAGGTGGGAGGTGGGAGGTGGGAGGTGGGAGGTGGAGGGTGAGTGATGAAAGATGAGAGATGGGAGGTGAGACACAGCCAGCCCACTCACACGCAACATACCAGTTTGGAGGCATCTCAAAACTAGACCCAGCCAGCTCTCACAAAAGCAGCCCACTCCAAATGCAACTCACCTGGACGGCGGGCAGGTTGAACGGAACAGTGGCTGGGGAGAGCATGGCCAGCCCCTCGAAATCTAACCCCTGAGAGGTGGCAGCAGCAGCAGAGGGCGGAGGGGGGATGGTGCCTCCTGCCGTCCACTTGCCTGCTGCTGCCAGCGCTGCACCTGGGAGGAATGAGTGAGGGATAGAGGGAGGAGTGAGAGGTGGTGAAGGATAGAGGAAGTGAAGGACAGAGGAAGTGAGGAATAGATGAAGTGAGGGATAGATGGAGTGAGGGATAGAGCGAGTGAGGGATAGAGCGAGTGAGGAATAAAGTGAGTGAGGGACAGAGTGAGTGAGGGGTAGAGGGAGTGAGGGATAGAGGGAGTGAGGGATAGAGGGGGTGAGGGATAGATGGAAGGATTGAGGGAGCAAGTGATAGAGGGAGTGAGGGATAGAGAGAGTGAGGAATTGAAGGGGAATGGCAAAAGTTGAGGGCAATTGCAAGGGACGATGAGGGAATGTTGAAGCAGGAAAGGAGGCTTGTTGACGGATGGGGGGGGGGTGGGGAGGTGTTATGCAATCTGGGTGCATGATGGCATGGTGAGAGTGCTGCTATCACCTGAGTGCATGATGGTGAGAGAGCTGCTGGGGAAGTCAAAGTCCATGTCAAAGGCAGACAGGAACGACAGCCCCACGATCCCTGCCACCGAACCAGGCAGGCCCGTGTACTGCAGGTCCAGCACCACCGCTTGCATCGGCCCGAACCTAAACTCCCCGAGCCTCACGTCCGGCAGCAGCAGCTCCCGCCCCTGCTTCCCCTCCGGCCCCATGCCTCCCAGACCCTGGGTCATCCTGCCCTCGTTAGTAGACAACCCGATAGTGCCATAAGAGAAATCCGGGGAGACGAGGGTGGTGCTGCTGCCGGTGTCTAGGAGGAAATCAAAGGGGCCCTTCCCGGCGACTTCTAGGGGCAGGATGACGTATTCCCGAGGCTCTCTGGCGGTGGTGGCGAGGCGACGCATGGGCATGCGCAGGATGACGCCTTGGGAGGCGGACGAGGGGGGGGAGGGGGAGGTGGAAACTTCTGGGGTTCTGCTACTGCTGGTGCTGGTGGAACTGCTGCTGCTGCTGCTGGTGGTGGATTGTGGAGAAGCAGAGGAGGATGGAGCTGAGAGGCGATGGGCAACGAGCAAGGAGACCAGCTGGTCCTTGTCAAACACTCCCCGCGTGCTGATGCCTGTGAATGTGGGTGCAAGAGACGACACGCACAAAGAACTTGTGTGCACGAATTGGCGAAACACCCCCACGTGCTGATGCCTGGGAGGGAAAGCGAGCAATGGCACACAGAATGTGATGTAAGGAGTGCGAAGCACTGCAACAAATGCGATGGGCTATGAGCAAGGAGGCCAGCTGGTCCTTGTCGAACACTTCCCATGTGCTGTGCTGTGCTGTGCTGTGCTGTGCTGTGCTGTTTTGTGCTGCTGTGTGCTCTGCACCTCTTGCTGCATGCGTGGATGCTGTATGTCCCTGACCTGAATTGCTATTATACTAAGAGGTCTGCTACTTCCAACACCTAGCCAACTCGTAACACTCCAGAAGCCTGTCTATACCCGTCAAACGCTCGTCCATATCCGTACAGAGGTATAGGCCTTACCAGGGTTACCACATACCAGGTTCGGCGTACCTAGACGGTCATACCCAGGCTCTCGAGCTCCTTCTTGATCTCCCTCGCTCGCATCGCCTCCACCGCTGCCTGCACAGCTGCGGCTGTAGCGGTCTCTCCTGCTCCGTCTCCCTCGGCCCTGCTCTTGACACTTCGCCTTCTCTTGCCATTGCCTGTAACTTTTGTAAGGGAGGTGAGTGACAGTCACAACATGGCAGTACACTCGACATTGGAATGTTGTTACAACAGAACATGATCAGGCAGCAGCGGGGGATAGGCAGTCGGGACAATCCTTCTAACATATGACCTCTTATCCAAATTTGACCCCAATCGGTCTCCGTCACCCAGCGGGACGAACCTCGAGCTGATGTTGATCCCACGGTGGCTGGCTGCCCCGTCCCATTGAAGTCGCCGCATCTCAGACGCGGAAATTCCGCGTCAGCGAAGCGGATCATCACTGGCTGGTTGGCAGGCACCGCCTGACGCGATGCTCGCACTATGATCGCTTGCGAGCCTCCCACACTTGGTAATGTCGCCGTAAACGATTTCGCCGGCCATCGCAACTGTGAACACAGAGGCGCCTGCCGCAACGCCCCCACGGTTCTCGATAGCCGCTGCTCTGAAGCCGCGAAAGGAATCGTCGCTGTGCAACGGTACTTTGACGGAAACGACGCGCGAGTCACGGTGGTGTTACGTCCCACGTGGAGAGTCGCCATTCTCTCAAGCTCTATTCAAACTTCAGAACACGTTAGTGACCCCACTACATGGTGTGCATTGTCTCTCGTAGTCATTCTAATTGATGGTCGTTGTACGATAACTCGCTATATGGTTAAGAGTCCTGTGCTGTCTGTGTGCCATAGTAGAGTGCACAACTGCAACCAGTCTCAATTCACTATCTTGGGGGGCCGAATCAACAAAAGTTCACTACAAAAGGCAGCTGACAGCTTCCATATACCGTCATACCCCGGATATAAGCGCCACCCTCGGATAAGCGCCTGGCGCTTTTAATTGGCGTGTGGCGCTTATATCCCCTGCTCGATTATAAGCGCACCCCCTGAAAAAACTTGTTTTATTATAAGCGCAGGTAAACTTAAATTTTGAAATGTGTTCAAAACGCTGTAACGATTTTTACTTTAGCAGGCGGATGTGTTGCAGATTCGGTTCCCTTCACATTCGGACCCTGCACTGGATGCGGGTCCAGTCAGCAGGAGCTGTCAGGAGCTGTCAGGAGCTGGATGTGAGTCAGATTGGGTGTATCTCCCTGCGCGCGCGAGAATTTCACAGACGACCCCATGTAACTTCGACTCGATTGAAAAGGCAAGCACGAGATCTACAGTTTGGTGTTAAAAAATATAAATAACATATATGTCATTTTATAAACGCCGGCGCTTATAAATTTACTCGATTATAAGCCCACCCCCTAAAAAAACCTGCTTTATTATTGCCCCCCATGGGGGTATATCCGGGGTATGACGGTATTCGATTTGAGAGTTATAAACGGTCTAAACTTGTGCTCAGCGTAAACTACTCTGCTTCAGAATACCACCTTGCTTAGGGCATCAACACAGCACCCTGACAGCTCTAAGTTGCAAAGCAGGCAATTGTTGCGAATGAATTCTCCACTTTATGGCTCTTGGGGTGCTTGCTCAAGCAAAGCTTGATTTGCCAGCTCAGGCGCCAGGTTTTCTTGCAGTTGGTTCCAAACTGACTCAACTTGATGGACGAATTCTGAAGAAAGATGGGAATGCAAACAGCACGGCAGAGTTGAGAAAACAGGATGATTATGTTCCAAAGAAATAACAAAAAGCACAAACAGAAATGCAATAGTTGGGCCTCTATCGGTGGAGGACTTGCCTTGAAATGTTGGATCCAAAATACACGCCTGCAGCGAACACATACCCGGTATTATATTGGGAGGTGTTAGCAAGTTGAACAGCAAAGCCTGCATTTCCAGCCTACCTGAAGTTGAATGGAAAGTGGAGGTGCCTCTTCGACTGCATGAGAAACAAAGGTGAAATTAGCAAAGAAACCTTATGCACAACCACATCCAGAAGACTAGAGATTCTAAAACTCGAACCTGCACTCAGAGGTTGGCTGGGCTGAGTCACGCAGCTATGTAGCTTCGCTTCTTTCTCGTCGTTCATCAAGCCCTGTAAGAACCAAAGGGAAAGTGGCATATCACAATAGAACTTCTCGAGTACATCATGCATTTTCGAAAAAGATCACGAACCTGAATAGCGGCTGAGAAGGATTGAGCAGCAGCAGCAGTCTCGAATCTCATCATAAACTTCTGCATCTGAGGTAGAATTAAGCGTTTACTGGGATAAGCTTGTCACATACGAGTACACGTTTCTTACCTGTGATGGAGAATCTGCTGTGGTATAGGATGCTACGACAACTCTGGAAGGTATAGCCTCGGCAGAAGCTTGTGGTCGACAAATCGGTTGGAAAAAGTGAACTCTTAACACGTAATGTTGCTCCTGAAAGATGGCCACAACGTTAGACGTTTTGCCGCATGCGATTCCATCAGCGACGCACGGCGGTTCGTGGCAATTTTTCTCACGTAAGTTACTCCACAGATCAAGGAAATCGTGGAGAGCTTGGGATCAGCGCGTTTGACGAGCGTGACCGTAACAAGGTCTCTGCTCTTCAACCAATGTCCTCGTGTTGGTCTACCCTTCAGGCCAGAAAATTTCCCGACGGCTGCTTGCAGGAAAGCCGTCTGCGTTGCAACGAACTTACTCAAATGAACTTGCCAGGACAGCGATCCCAGCTCCTCTTCTGGCCGCATTCCGGCCATCAGCATGGCTTTGTGACGGTAAGAACAATCAGTGCGTTTCTGTTACGAAACTGAACTCCGTTGCTGTCTCGCACGGAAGGTGCTTGGGCTTCCCGCACAAATAAAATTGTATCCTACGAGGTATGCCGTAAAATGAAACCTGTGTTCTTCGCCATGTTGGTGAATCCAGCACTACTACCGCATGACCCCTAGGAGCCTGGCAACTTTCGACTCGATATTCCTCCCTTGCACTTGATAAGATGCGTGAGCTGTGTTCTGCATGTGCACATTACCTTACGACCCACGTGTAGCGTAACTCCATAATGGGTTCCACAAAGTTGCATTTAGCATTGCTGCAATCATTTAAAAATAAGGCAGTGCTGACAGAATCTAGCATTTGATAGCTAATAGGCTTTAAATTATGCAAAGCTTATAGGCGAAAATGAATAACCCAATCCCACTGCTCCACTATATCTAAAAGCCACCATGTGTCGTCATGAACTCCACTTCTGCAGGTGTGCTCTCCCTTCCCAATGCATCATTTCGGTGAGGATACCGACCAAACTTAACAATAATATCACGATGCTTGTGTGCAAAATTTAAACCTCCATTGAAAAACCCCTTCACGGGACCTTCAGGAGCATCTTCAACCATTTGAGTCATCAGCTCAATACATCTATCCTGTGCTGCCAAATCTGCAAAAGCAGACACATGAACCAGAGAAGCCAGCCACACAACAATCACAGGGAGGAGGGTAAACTTCTGAATGCGAATATGCGAAGAGCAATGAGCTGACACATGAACAAAGAAAAGCCGTACCTTCTGCGTGCTCAAACGGCAGGTAGAAGAAAGGCCGACCAACCCTGGGCACCTGCCGGTCAAAACCCTTGTCAATGGCCCTGCATACGTGGCACCATCACAACATTACCCAACTTATTCATGAGAGAGAGGAGAAAGTGCCTGTTTTGTTTCACGTCAACACCGAGGAGTGTGCTGGAGGTTAAAATGCGATGAAAATGGTATGCTGTGACGGCTGGTTTCAGAGCAATCTTGTTCAGAAACATTTTCTTCTGCAAGTACAAGAAGCAGAGCATGCTGATGATGAGAAAGGAGTTCTACGCTTGTTTACTTGATGGGTCCACAAGTGGTGCGTAAACATGAGATAACAAATGCAGTTGGTACCAGAAAGGTGATAGAGAACTCACCGCTTAGCAACCTCCAAAGCAAGGTGGTCCTGGAAAGAAATGATAATAAACGAGTGAAACAAGGAAGAAAGGCAGACATATTGGAGCGATTGAAGAAAATGAATAATTGTTTTGCATCAGCAACATAGTACCGGTGAGCAAAGAGCATAAAATGGTGAAATGACAGTGGGTAGGAAGAACATAACACAAAAAGATACATGGACAGCGACTAAGCATTGTACTCGGTAAAAACATATGCTATTTCACCAGATGCAGCAGGTGCTGACCTGTGCAAAAGCCTCTGTGGAGCCCCTGAATCTGTTCCTTCTGAGCTTGACTTTACACTACAAAGATGCTAAAAAAAAAGAAGAAAGGACGGTGCTGACCTGTGCAAAAGCGTCTGGCGAGCCCCTGAAGCTGTTCCTCGTGAACTGATCAAGCAGCACAAGCAATGCGAGAGCGCCATGTGGCGTGTCCTCCCAGGCCGCCAGCTGGCCTGACGCGGCGAGCGGGATGAGCGGAGCGAATCGCGTGCGAATGAGAGTGTCCACGTCATCATTCTTGCTGAACCACACACGCGCCTTGGCTACCTCGTCTGACGGTGCAGGAGCCGGGCCCTGCAAGGTGATCAATGGAAGAGATTGCGTGGTGAACGGGGCATGCTAGGATGAGTGCAGCACAACGGAAATCCTTTGTGTTGCATACTATGATATGAGCATGCCCCGTGCTTGGGTTGCTCGCGCAGCACAACGGAAATCCTTTCTGTTGCATAAACACTGCACATGCCTTTGTGAACTCGATTTCTCCCCAACCAGCTAACGGGCAAGATTGCCAGTCCTTGATACAACCACTCACACACGATAGCGCATTGCTCACTTTCCCGGCGTCAGACCGCCACTTACATCATATCCAGGCCGCATGAACTCTCCAAACCAGAACGGGAGAATCTCCCCGACCCCCTCGTCTGCCCCGACCGCACCCGCAGCAGCGCTGCTGCTCCCATTGGCACCACCTCCCGCCGTGGCCATTGTTGCAATGCCACGCGTCACTTGGGCGTTGCTTCTTGTGCAGGAATCGGCCACTCTCCAGAACAACGCAGAGTTAAGGACGCGGTTGAATGAGCAGCCTTTCAAGCCGCGCTCCGAGCGATCGTAGAATCTTTCTTCTCTGCCGTACACCGGAAAAGTCGGCGAATACGGAGAAGCGAGAAAAGCCGGCGGCTTTATCAGAGCGGCATTGATTGCGCCATCTGGCCTGGTTGCAACACGCGCAGTACTAATCCTCGCTGCTCCGACGCGTGGAATCACAGCGGAAGCCAGGAACGACCGTTCAGCGGCTGATGTCAAGCACAAGACGCGTCGACTGAGGGACATGGGAATGGCGACCCGTTAAAACCAGGGTCTCATGTAAGCAAAGGAGCCATCAACTGCAAAACAGTTGAAGCTAGGTTACATAGTTAGAGAAGACGAAGTTCTCTCTGGTTTGGTTGGAAACTCAGCTTGCGAAACACCTGGGCGATGTTCGGCTGCCACAGGGGATCGACCGAGGGATGGGGGGAGGGATCAGATTTGCAGCTAGGGTTTCTAGTTCGGGGTGGTCAGCTCGGAGTCAACCGTCGTTGACTCCAAGTCTGGAGTCCAGGCGGAAGCGGAAAGTTTGGGGGCAAAGGCGCGGAGGAGCGACCCGGGAAATGGGGGCCCACGAAACTGCAGCCGCGCGAAACGAAACTTCGCGAGCTGAACAGTTTTCCCGAATTTACTGTTGCGATTTGTGTGGGTACCTTGCTCTACTTGAATTCTGTACACCATAAATTAATTAAAGGGTGTAAAGGACGATTCGACCTTAGTTAATTTTAATTTGTTCATTTCGAATTTTTGTGTTTAGCATTATAATTTCAATGTCCGGGTTATTTGTTTTTAAGAGTGTGGAGTAAATGTATACACGAAAATTGTGGAAGGGGGCATGGATTTTTCATTCCCCGTGGGCTGAGACCACCCACGGGAATGCACTTTCCATGCCCTGAACACTAGGGCGGAGTTTTTCCGCCATGGGGGGGAATTGGGGGGAGGACGCGGCGCGGGTTCAAGCCTAGCGCGGGGTTCGCGTCGCGTTTTAGGCTCACGTCCGACACTTTTTTTCACAATTTTCATGTCTGACCGAAGTGTTCTGCCTGGTTCGAACAGATCGAACCAGCAGGCTCGGCGTTCTGATGCTCCATCCCATCCCCTCCCCCCATCCCCTGTGGCAGCCGAACATCGCCCTGGTCGTTGCCCCAGCAGCAATTGCCAAAAACTTATAGGTAGCAAGAGGACGCGTCATCTCTTCACAATCGAACACGATCGATCCGGCCCAGGTTCGATTTTGTCCGGTTTTGAAAACGGTTCTAAATCTTTACGATGTAACAAGTAGGTTTCAAGTGTGGTGGACGGTCGGTTTTTGACACGTCCAGAGACTTTCGATCAGTTCGAAATCGAAATAGGTTACGCGTCCTACGAATTTCGATGAGTTGGAAGTGTTTTTAGGTTTGGCTCCAAACCAAGTTTCCAAGCCTAGAAGGTTCGGGTACACCCAGCGATTTGCATTCACTTCGCACCCGTCGCTTCACCCCACTTCAAACCTAACACCTCGCCAACCAGTCACAGCCATACTTTGACCATCAACTGCAAAACACTTCCAGTACATATGACCCTGGTTTTAAAAGGAGCGCAGCGGTGGCAGGAAGGTTTCACCGAGTGACAGTCTCCTAGAGAATGACGTACTTACACCAAATCTCGATGTGGTGGTATTTCTAGGGCAGTGCAAATGCGGAATGCCGTCCGTTCATCGCATCAACACTGAACTCTCGCCCAGACACTACCCACTGCCGCTCAAGAGAACGAAGCCGGAAGGCGGATGAAGGAACGAGGTAATTATGGTGCGTCAGCCCCTGTCGTCAGCAGGGTTCAAGACAATACCCTCCCAACAACAGCGTGTACCAGACGTCCAGAATACGTTGTGTTTCGTATTCGAGAAAGATCGAATGTTGAAGTGAGGCACAATTGACCACTATTGAGTAGGCATGAGCAAATTACTGAACCAAACCGGTTCAGGCACTTTAGCGCATTCACCGAACCGGTTCGTTAACGAACCGAACCGGTTCTTTCCGAACCGTCCTGATCTCAAGCCGGTTCGAGGTTCGGTATTATAGTGGGAAAACCGAACCGAACCGAACCGAACCGAACCGAACCGAACCAAACCGAACCGGCCATTTTGGCCCCTCTTAACCCCTCGTCACCCCTCCCCGCCCCTCTTTGCCCATAGATGAAAGCAAAAAAACGAACCGGTCGAACCGCCGAACCGGTTCGATGACAAACCGGTTCGGCCCGTTGCAAACCTAATGAACAAAAAAAGGCTGAGGTTTGGTTCGCAACGAACCGAACCGCGCCGAACCGAACTGCGGTTCGGCTCTTTGCGCATGCCTACTATTGAGTGGTCTACTTTTTCACCTCACACATTCCACAATTGAGAAAATCGTGTATTCAGTGTTCGACCATCTCTTTTGCTGGATGTTCGAAATCTTAAATTCGGCTTTTTTCACCTTTTGGCAAAACGAACATGCCCTTGCAATTGAGTAATTGAGCAAGATTCCACTATATAAGCTAACCACGCAATGAGCGAAGGCATGAGCAAATTGTTATATAGCGAAAGCATTTCGGCAACTGTAACGCGCTCGCGAAAAGCGTGCCCTACGGGCCTGATGCGGGGGTTGGGAAATGTCGAGGCGTAGGACCGGGTCGCAGGTTACCAGCAGCCGGATGGTTTGGGCGCGAGAGTCGTGGTGGCGGGAACAGCGTCGAAGCGAGTGTCGCGAAGTGGTAACATGCTACTGTTGGGTGTACAGTGGCGGGAATAGTACTGTACGCGGTATGTAGTGTGACGCGAAGTAAGGAAATGTTATTTTCCTTATACTAGCCCACTCGCGGAAATTTCGGCTACGCATATACTCGGTGGGGACGGAGTGTCCAGGAGGACCAAGCTGTCCTCGGTTTGTGTTCGGTCTCTCCAGTGAATCTTGAACTCGATGCGTCGTGCTCCACGTGGGTCGGGTATTCGATGACTGAATATTGTTTTGGGTACGATGACTGGTTTCGTGGGCTGACATGTCATGCTGGACAAGCGGCTGCGTGGCAGTTGACTCGCTGACGCGACGTAAAGGGTGAGGAGACTGACGTGGAAGGACGGGCTGACGTACCAGTTAGCAGGAAGGAGGTGGGCGGTTACGGGGGTAATCATGTGGCTGATGCGAAATGGCCCACAAAATCTCGAGCGTAATTATGGAGTGATGGGCAGTCGGAGGTTCTGAGTGTCGAGTAAAACTAGGTCGTCGGGCCGGTACGTGGCGGGGTGGCGGTGACGGTCGGCGTTGCGAACAACAATTATGTTCGGTTTTTCTTTTTTGTTGCATCTGCTGCTTGGGTCCGGGCTGTCTCTAATATTTCGGCGAACTGCTGTGCACGTGGGACATGGTTGTCGGGATTCGACGTCATGGGTACTGTCGGGTTTTGTCTGTAGTTGAGATAAAACGACGACTATTCGGTGATGGCGGACGTGGAGTTGTTGTACGCGAATTCTATGAGTGGCAACTGCTGCTCCCATGTTGCCGGGCCGTCACACGTGGCTCGAACAAATTGCTCCATGGTCTGATTGGTGCGCTCGGTCTGTCCGTTGGTTTCGGGGTGGTACGATGAACTGAACTGAAACCATGTCAGAAATGAGAAGGAAAGAATGACTAGAAAGAGAGCAGTACAAGGTTTGTATAGGCTGTACCCCATAAGGAGTGCCCCACTACAGCCTAGAGCATATATGCATAGTTCTGACAAAGTCGAGTGCCAGACCGCTACCATAGGTTCCTCCAGCAGTTGCTTGTAAACTTCGTGTCACGGTTGTTGATGATCGCTGGTGTTATCCCGTGCAGGCGAACGAGGGTGACGATGAAGAGCCGAGCTGTTTCTTGCAGGTAGCGAAGTGTGTCATTTTTGTCAGCCAATCGACGAACGCGTTGTTCCCACTTGCCCCAGCCGGTAACTCCGTGACGAAGTCCATCGTCACCTGCTGCCAAGCACGCGCTGGGGTTGGGATCGGCTGCAACTCTCCCGCCGGCTTCTCTCGTGACGATTTGATAAGCTGGTATGTGGGACACGATGCCTTTTGACTATGTACGTCGGTCAGCATTTCAAGCCAGTAATAATGCTGCTGTAGCTGCTGTCGTATTTTGTCGACCCCGAATTGTCCTCGAGTAATTCCGTCTTGTGCCTCCTGTATTAATATTTCCCGCAGTAAGGAGTAGCGCGGTACCCAAGTTCGATCGGTGCTGGCTTTTGCGTAATACACCCCCGTGCTACTGCGAAATGATGCGAGTTGCCACTAGTGAAGAATGGGTATGTTTGATATCCGTGGGTGAAAAGGCTTGTGAGCAGTGGGCTGGTCTGGGTGAGTAGTACCGCGTGTATTCGGGCAGTCGGGCGAGTCAGTGCGTCGGCAATGTTGGAGGCACCCTTTTTGTAGGTGACCGTGTAGTGAAAATTGGACTCCAAAAAGTCCAACCAGCGAACCTATTGTGGGTTGAAGTTGGGCTGTGTGTAAAGGTACTGTTGTGAGCGTTGATATGTCCGTACTGTCACGTTTGAACCGGTCAAGTAACAGCGACACACTCTAAACGAGCATTTCGCGGTCGTGTATCGAGCATTTTTTTTCCAGGCGGGTGAAGCTTTCGTGACTCGTACGCGATCGGCTGCAGGCCGTCGCCAAAGCCCTGTAACTCCAAATGGGCGGTGTGGGTCGGCGATGCAAAAAACGGGTGGCGAGCACACTACGATTTCCAGGCCAGAGAAGACAACATGCTCTTTCTCCCCCCACGTGAAATCGTACCCCTTCCGCAGCAAGTCTGTCGGGTCTGCAGTTGGTCGATCAGTTCGTCGGCGCGGGGGATGGGATATCGCGATTTGACTGTAACCCGGTTCAGTGCTCTGTAATCTATGCACACGCAAAA